CTGTTACGCTTTGCGCTCTCTGTCGCACTTACGGGACTTACGGTAGTGGAAAACAGGATGCAGATTGTTGCGCTTTCCGCTCTCTGTCGTACTTATGGGCCATACGGCGAGCCTGCCGCAAAAAACGCAAAGCGCAACAGGCGGCGTCCTGTTTCACCATTTAATTGCACCGCGAGCAGTGAGTATTTAATATTAATATAGTAGTAATGCCGCCATCATGAAGTCCTTATCTATGATATTACCGTTTGCTAATACTGGCTACTTTAAAGTTTGCATTCGACTTGGAATTCCAAATTCAAATTATTGGTCATATTATAGCTATAAAGCAAATATCAATCGAGTTTTGCCGGCGTTAGTGGTAAACTTCCTGCTAAGCTCGATTGCAGCTCCTATAATAGTGTTTAAATAATGGTTTGACATGGGTTTTGATAAGTGGTGCGACTTTTTGCATTAAATGTCTGTACATATGAATTATGAGCGGAAACGATAAAACAAGTGCTGCGATTGTGATTTACACCTCAAAGTATTTTGACTGCTAAGGCGAATTGAGATAGAAACGTTAGCAGCTGTCTTAAGCTGCTGTCGAAACCTCCAAAAACTTCGCACTGTGATGCATGAATTTATTATAGTGTATTACATATTTAAATATTGAATAATGTATTACACTGTTAGATATTCCTTTTGGCTGAAGGCTTTGTATCCAATGCCTTTGTATTCACAACAAATAAAAAAAAATTAAAATCAGTTTCTTTTAGTTTTCCCCCGTTTGATGTTTTCATTTTCTTTACTTTCTTTCGAAATTTAAACTTTTACAGAAAAATAATTTCATCTCCAATGGGGTAGTGAAAATTGTCTTTAAAATTACATACAATACTATTATTGCGTTACTCTGGGCGTTTTAACATGGTATAAATGAAATCTGTTTTACTGACCGTACGTCAATTACAGTTGGCCTTACTATAAATCCGTGCTGAGGGCTACACTTAGCCCACACTGAGTGGGAACCAATTTCCAACACCGCAAAACACGTATAGTATTGAAAGTAATAAAATAGCTAGCTGTAAGTACAAGTTATTTATGTTTAATATTACACCATATGGACGCATTGTGTTCTCTGTCGGAATAAAGATTTTCTTATTCACATATGAAATATTCATCGATTGCCGTGACTAGAATTTCTGAAGCAGAAGCATTAATGAAAGGTTCATTGAAATGGCAAAGGTGCATGCTCGTTTATTGTAGAATAATAACCGATAGATCGATTAATTGAATATTTTTCAAATACTAGCTAAATTTTATACTTAAGTCCAAATATATAAATAATGATACACCGTTATTGCAGTTTTTTAAAATACTAGTAAATAAGACATCGCGTTTTTTTTTAACTATCCCAAATTCAATGTCATTTACGGGCAACAACTACGCGTACGCGCTCTTATGTGTGCGATTCAATTCACAATGCCGACCGATTGACTCTTACGAATGTATGCGTGCGTAGTAAAATAGTAGCCGTTAGATATTTATGAATGACAATCAGTTATTCGCCTTTATTACTTATTCTGAAACTTCTCTGCAAATTTGGTCGTATATTTTTTATGAAATTTAAGTGTTTGAATATCTATATCAAATGGTAATTTCATAGGCAAGGGCCCAATATAAAAGAAAATAAAAAGGATTTGAAAAAAAAATTAAAAAATATACACATTTTACACGAAATATATCATACAACCTTTTCAATAATTTCAATGTCAGATATTAATAATTAGAAAAAGTTATACCAGTTTAGTCTTACATTTCTACAGCAGCGTAAAAACAAATTTAATAATGACTCATTATCACCACAAATATTGCCCATACTTACTTACTGCACTATAGTAACTACATAATAAACTATTGTTAAAAAACCTTATAAATTATTTGAGGTTAAACACTACCTAGTTAAAGCAAATATGTATATTGTTCTACATTCTGGGAATGTATGGGTCACGTAAAACACTAACTACTACTTATTTACAACAAATAAATTACAAAAATACAATATGATCGATAACAAATTATGCACTATAAAAATAATGTTAAAATTATTATCGCAAGAGATTCGTTCTTTGGAAGAGACACGCTACAAGCATGTGACTTACATGCTGTTACACACTTAATGTTGCCAGATGAGGCCACTGTCTTTATATCGTTACATAATTCTACGCATAAAAAAAATATGATGCGATAAATAATAAAGGTGAAGAGAAACTCCGCTAAAAATTGGTTTGCGTATAAAGGTCAATTATATAAGCTAAATTCCGTAAATTGGTGTAAGTATAGTCAAAGATCAAATAGTTACTTCAACTGGATCAAATTGATAAATCATGTCAACTCTTATCAATAATGTTGAGCACGACGATAATTACGACCCTTACTCAAATTGAAACAGATACGTATTTTTAACAGGCGAGACAGATATGTAATAAATATCTTATAGTCTTTCACTGCGTACACTTATGATTATGAAAATTCTTGAATTAATTATAAAATTTAATATAAAATTGTATGTAATCACAAACACATAAGTGGAATGTTGAAAATAAATGCAGAACGAAATTCGTCTAGAAGCACAAATTATCCGAGCTGTTAACGTAATCCGCATCCGCCTTAAATAGATAATATAATACATTTTTGGTAACAAAAATATCCCATTATTCAATTCACATTAAAATTTATAAATAAATAAATCATCTAATGTCTAAATCAGTTCAGTGGAGCGCAGTACATCTCCATAAAATTACTAACAGCAGTGAATATATTGTTAAAATAAAATTAAAGTAACAAAATGTGCATGTTAATATGGGATATAAATATAACAAACCTAAAAAAAATTATTAGTAAATCTTAACTAAATATTATGGTATGTTTTAATCGCATTAAATAAATAAAAGGTAAAAGGAATTATTAAGAGGTAGACATAGGGTTTTTGTAATTTCTGTTTCATGTAATTTCTACCGTAAAATTAAAAAGCTTTTAATTATTATGTTAGTTTGATTGCCCTTTGAATAAATGATGCCTTTCGTAACACACCTCTAGTGGATACACCACAAGAACAAGTTATGTATCGGCTACTTTTATATAATGTTGGACATTGCGATCTTGAGATTATTAGATTAGTAAACAGCTCAACTTTTTGGTGTTTACTCCTTAAAATCGGGCGTTAACAAAAAGTGAAGTCAATATGGTTTTTCTCTGCACAACATACTCGTGCATCTCATAGCGCTCCCCGCACCTCAGCGCCATGTACACATTTACACTCTCTCTCTCTCTCTCTCTCTTGATGGCGCTAGCGTAACAGCGTGACCACTGTTTCTATAATTTGAACATAGTATTAAATATATTTATTACTAGTGATCGGCTTAGGTAGTGCGATTTTGAGTCAATGAACTTGAATTATAACGTTAATATGGATATGAACATACCCTCGGATTCCCGGGAATATTTTTCTAAATGTCAATGTAATGTTCGTTAATGTGAAACAAACGCGTATGTTACATATCGTAATAAATCAGCTTGTCTGTAGTTCGTTAACCATTTTTTATTATAATAATTTGTGAAATATGAAGATGATTAAATAATAAAAATAAAAACAAAACAACAGCTTCTAGAAAAAAAATTATTTTGTCCTAAGTGTGTCATCATCTTCTCAACATCTAACAAAAACCCTGTGGTTCCCGTTGAGTGCGTTATCAGAGGCAGTATTCAAACGTAAAGAAATAACATTTTTTCAAAAAACTTGAACATAAAATTTTTTTTTAAAATTGTATGTGGTTTTATTACCTCTGCATTGTCCGGAGAATAAGAGGATTGTGAAAGACCCCTCTTCACCGATGCTCGTCTCAGTTAGAAATAACAAAACGACATACAATTTGCAAATTAATTTTTTTTAAATTAAAATTAAATTTTTTAATGTTTAATTTTTTTTTTTGAATAAAAGTTATTCCTTTACGTTTGAATACTGTCTCTGATAACGCCCTTAAAGGGAACCACAGGGTTTTGTTACACGTTGTATAGACTTCTAGATTTGGAGTAAAAAACATCGTAAAGTCGGCCTCGCAATTTTGCGCCGCACGCGTAATTTTAAGCCTACTTTTTGATTTTATTTTGCAAAGTTGTCCACGGTGGCTTTTATTAATATAGATTCTCGAACAAACCATAAACATTTCTTATATTAGATCATATTGAATGGGCAAAATGCAACCGTATCCTCACCTCACCCGCGACGAGGTACAAAAGCGCAAGGGAAAGAGATGACTTTAGTGACCAATAAAATATGTGCGTAAAGGTGAATAAGTATGTAAAATACGAATTCCCAAAATAATCCTCAATAAAAAAATTGGTATAGTGAAATGAATAAATAATATATTTCCGGGATTCAGCAGGCATATCCATGTTAAGATAACCGTCACTAAATCCCGGAAATAGCACTACCTATGCCGATCACTACTTATTATATATACTTATGAAGTTTTAATGATTTAAAGTTTGATTTTATTTTTATCTGTTGATATTTAAATTTACATATATATTTTAAGACAATCGTTTTTTTTTTTCAGGAGTAAACTCCAATCATGCTTCGGAGCTGATACGCACAATTTTTTTCTCTACTAATCGATTATCACTTTCAATTTTTTTTTTTAGTTTTCTACAACATATTCTATGAAATTTTAATAATTAAATACTTATTAGGCTTCAGTTTTAATTAAAATAACCTAACATAATTGTCTGATATATGTTAGTCATTTATATTGAATTCGTCGTATAGTATAGTTGACATAGTTGTTTTGTAAAATATCTCAAGAAGGCATGCTCTCGTGTGCGTTACACTGTATTTTTAGTAATAAAACTAAACATAATTTTAATTTCCACATTATAAGACGTTAATCGAACGTAATACGTTATGAATATGAAAACGGTGTATAAATAGAGGATACGTCCGTATCACCTGGTGTGGTTTCTTGTTATAGCGGATTGGCGACCTCTTCGCCGGGCAACGAGTGAACACGCGCTGAAAGGAGGTTGTGTAGGATGAAAACGGCTGGCTTTGGACTGCCCTCCATGTCCAATTCCTAGAAAAATAAAATAATGATACAAGGGAAGTGTTAATAAAGTTAAGACAGACAATGGCAGACAATTTATATTTCATATATTATTTATTATATTTATTATTCATAATTGTTTATTATAATATTTTCAGGGATCTTTTTTTCCTTGATTGTTCACATATAATGTTGTACCAGTTGTATTGGTGGTTAAATTATCAGTAGTCAGGTACTTTGAGTTAAAATCCTAACCGAAAAGTTTGTTGCACAAAAGGAAGGTACCTACACATATTTACTTTGAATTTTATCTTCTTCAATTTAAAACTTCAAATTTATTATTTCAGAATCTCAAGACCACATATTAAACGCCATATCATCGTCACTTGAGCATTTGATTAAGCGTTATTCTGGTCGCGCGATGTCTCAATTGTTGTGTGTGGAATCTTCCCAAGCGGGATCTCTCAAGTGTGGAGTGTTTAACATCCCGAGTAAGAAGTCTCAATCTCAAGTGTATAGTTATTACTAATAGTGTACTAATTACTAATAATTATAATTACTACTAAAGTGTATACTAATTACTTACCGGATGAGATGTCACAAGTGTACGGTGTGTTTACATCCCGGCTGGAATATCTGAAGCTATCAAGTATACTGTGTACAAACTCGTACACAGTACAATGGGCGGGATGTCTCGAGTGTGTGGTGTATAAATTCTAGACGGGATGCCTCAAATGTACCATGTGTAAATTTCTTGGGTGGATGACACAAGTGTACAATGTAAATTTTTCAAGTGGTATTTCTCAAGTATAGTGTGTGTAGACTTCACATGGGGGATCTCTCAAGTGCTCGGTGTGTAAACTTCTCGGGCAGGATCTCTTAAGTGTACGGTGTACAAACTTCCAGAGCGGGATGTCTCAAGTGCGCTGTGTATAAACCCTAGACGAGATTTCTCAAGTGTACAGTGTGTAAGTTACCGGTCAGAATGTCTCAACAACCCATACGGTATGTCTCTAGTACACGATGTGTAAATCCCTGGCGTGATGTCTTTTGTGTATTATGTGTAAGCTTCCAGAGCGGGGTGTCTCAAGTGCGCTGTGTATAAACCCTAGACGAGATTTCTCAAGTGTACAGTGTGTAAGTTACCGGTCAGAATGTCTCAACAACCCATACGGTGTGTCTCTAATACACGATGTATAAATTCCAGGTGTGATGTCTTTTGTATATTAGGTATAAACTTCCAGAGCGGGATGTCTCAAGTGCGCTGTGTATAAACCCTAGACGAGATTTCTCAAGTGTACAGTGTGTAAGTTAACGGTCAGAATGTCTCAACAACCCATACGGTGTGTCTCTAGTACACGATGTATAAATCCCAGGTGTGATGTCTTTTGTATATTAGGTATAAACTTCCAGAGCGGGATGTCTCAAGTGCGCTGTGTATAAACTCTAGACGAGATTTCTCAAGTGTACAGTGTGTAAGTTACCGGTCGGAATGTCTCAAAAACCCATACGGTATGTCTCTAGTACACGATGTATAAATCCCAGGCGTGATGTCTATTGTGTATTATGTGTAAACTTCTAGAGTGGGATATCTCAAGTGTAATTGTGGCAAACCCAGGGGGGATTTCTCAATTATAGGGTGTGTAGGCTTCACAGGGGGGATCTCTTAAGTATTCGGTTTGTAAACTTCCCGGGAGGGATCCGGTTAAGTATATGTGGTGTGTAAGCCCCAGGTGCCAGCGCCCCCCAGGAGACCCATGCCTTCAGACGCCTCACTGGAGTCACTTGAAGGGGTTGTACGCACATAGGTGGGGGGTACGTGTAAATACATAGGACTACCATATACCGTCAACAGCAATATTAACATCGTTCATCATCATCATCATCATCATTACAGCCTTTCATAAGTCCACTGCTGAACATAGGCCTCCCCCAAGGAATGCCACAAAGCACGGTCCTGAGCCACCTGCATCCATCTACTTCCTGCATGTCTTACCAGATCGTCACTCCATCTCGTGGGGGGTCGCCCTACACTTCGCCTACCGGTACGAGGCTGCCACTCGAGAACCTTTCTTCCCCATCGGTTGTCGGTTCTTCGAGCTATATGACCGGCCCACTGCCACTTCAGCTTACTAATCCGTTGGGCTATGTCGGTTACTCTGGTTCTACTGCGGATATACTCATTTCTAAGTTTATCACGCAGAGAAACTCCGAGAATAGCCCTCTCCATAGCTCGCTGAGCGACCTTGAGCTTCCTCATACGGCCAGCAGTGAAGGACCACGTCTCAGTTCCGTAAGTCATCACTGGCAACACGCACTGGTTGTACAATTTCGTTTTAAGGTTTTGAGGTATGTCTGACGAGAAGATGTGTCGTAGCTTCCCGAACGCTGCCCAGCCGAGTTGAATCCGTCGATTGACCTCTCGGTCGAAGTTGGACTTACTTAGTCGGACTATTTGTCCCAGGTAAACATACTCGTCAACAACTTCGAGCTTAGTGCTCCCAACAACTACCGGCATAGGTGTGACATGGACATTAAACATAATCTTTGTTTTGTCCATGTTCATCTTAAGACCTATCCGTTGGGAGACACTATTGAGGTCATTGAGCATAGTGCTTAGGTCCTCCAGGGATTCTGCCATAAGGACTATATCGTCGGCAAATCGAAGGTGAGTGATGTACTCGCCATTGATGTTAATACCGTATCCTTTCCAGTCCAGAAGTTTGAAAACGTCTTCCAATGCAGCGGTGAAGAGTTTCGGGGATATAACATCACCCTGTCTTACACCTCTCTGCAATTGGATAGGTTTCGTACTCTGGTTCTGTACTCGGATAGCCATCGTAGCTCTACTGTACAAACACTTCAGCACTTCGATATACCGACAGTCAACTTGGCACCGCTGAAGGGACTGCAGCACCGCCCAAATTTCGACGGAATCAAAGGCTTTCTCGTAGTCCACATACGCCAGACATAGTGGCAAATTGTACTCTTCGGACTTCTGTACTTCTGTACATCGTTACACAAACCTAATCATAATAAAAAAGATTTCAAACAGGAGCGAGTCTTGCCGCACGCCCCATAATCCCCCTGATTATCTACCGCGTGTTTGGGAAAGACTGCTAATGGAATAGTTAGAGTAAAGAGGCGACGAAAATGTCGACAGGAAGTTAGGAGTGCATATAATGCGAGTCTAACGCCATCTGCTACAGGGTTTCAGGCCCCCGTATCCTCAAACCTACAAACGTCATCAAGGCTCTAAAGCTTCTTCAAGCTACGTGAGGACGACGCCAGCGCCTCCGTTTCAAAATTCACAAGAGTCAAATTGCGGCCAGAGCGCAGCGCGGTCGTCGTCGGCGGAGGGGCAGCTGCGGTACGTACGAGCGTGTCGTCGTCGGCGAAGTGCAGCCAGAGCGCGGCGCGGTCGTCGTCGGCGGAGGGTGTAGCTGCGGTACGTACGAGCGTGTCGTCGTCGGCGAAGTGCAGCCAGAGCGCGGCGCGGTCGTCGTCGGCGGAGGGTGTAGCTGCGGTACGTACGAGCGTGTCGTCGTCGGCGAAGTGCAGCCAGAGCGCGGCGCGGTCGTCGTGGGCGGAGGGGCAGCTGCGGTACGTACGAGCGTGTCGTCGTCGGCGAAGTGCAGCCAGAGCGCGGCGCGGTCGTCGTCGGCGGAGGGTGCAGCTGCGGTACGTACGAGCGTGTCGTCGTCGGCGAAGTGCAGCCAGAGCGCGGCGCGGTCGTCGTCGGCGGAGGGTGTAGCTGCGGTACGTACGAGCGTGTCGTCGTCGGCGAAGTGCAGCCAGAGCGCGGCGCGGTCGTCGTCGGCGGAGGGTGCAGCTGCGGTACGTACGAGCGTGTCGTCGTCGGCGAAGTGCAGCCAGAGCGCGGCGCGGTCGTCGTCGGCGGAGGGTGCAGCTGCGGTACGTACGAGCGTGTCGTCGTCGGCGAAGTGCAGCCAGAGCGCGGCGCGGTCGTCGTCGGCGGAGGGTGCAGCTGCGGTACGTACGAGCGTGTCGTCGTCGGCGAAGTGCAGCCAGAGCGCGGCGCGGTCGTCGTCGGCGGAGGGTGCAGCTGCGGTACGTACGAGCGTGTCGTCGTCGGCGAAGTGCAGCCAGAGCGCGGCGCGGTCGTCGTCGGCGGAGGGTGCAGCTGCGGTACGTACGAGCGTGTCGTCGTCGGCGAAGTGCAGCCAGAGCGCGGCGCGGTCGTCGTCGGCGGAGGGTGCAGCTGCGGTACGTACGAGCGTGTCGTCGTCGGCGAAGTGCAGCCAGAGCGCGGCGCGGTCGTCGTCGGCGGAGGGTGCAGCTGCGGTACGTACGAGCGTGTCGTCGTCGGCGAAGTGCAGCCAGAGCGCGGCGCGGTCGTCGTCGGCGGAGGGTGCAGCTGCGGTACGTACGAGCGTGTCGTCGTCGGCGAAGTGCAGCCAGAGCGCGGCGCGGTCGTCGTCGGCGGAGGGTGCAGCTGCGGTACGTACGAGCGTGTCGTCGTCGGCGAAGTGCAGCCAGAGCGCGGCGCGGTCGTCGTCGGCGGAGGGTGCAGCTGCGGTACGTACGAGCGTGTCGTCGTCGGCGAAGTGCAGCCAGAGCGCGGCGCGGTCGTCGTCGGCGGAGGGTGTAGCTGCGGTACGTACGAGCGTGTCGTCGTCGGCGAAGTGCAGCCAGAGCGCGGCGCGGTCGTCGTCGGCGGAGGGTGCAGCTGCGGTACGTACGAGCGTGTCGTCGTCGGCGAAGTGCAGCCAGAGCGCGGCGCGGTCGTCGTCGGCGGAGGGTGCAGCTGCGGTACGTACGAGCGTGTCGTCGTCGGCGAAGTGCAGCCAGAGCGCGGCGCGGTCGTCGTCGGCGGAGGGTGCAGCTGCGGTACGTACGAGCGTGTCGTCGTCGGCGAAGTGCAGCCAGAGCGCGGCGCGGTCGTCGTCGGCGGAGGGTGCAGCTGCGGTACGTACGAGCGTGTCGTCGTCGGCGAAGTGCAGCCAGAGCGCGGCGCGGTCGTCGTCGGCGGAGGGTGCAGCTGCGGTACGTACGAGCGTGTCGTCGTCGGCGAAGTGCAGCCAGAGCGCGGCGCGGTCGTCGTCGGCGGAGGGTGCAGCTGCGGTACGTACGAGCGTGTCGTCGTCGGCGAAGTGCAGCCAGAGCGCGGCGCGGTCGTCGTCGGCGGAGGGTGCAGCTGCGGTACGTACGAGCGTGTCGTCGTCGGCGAAGTGCAGCCAGAGCGCGGCGCGGTCGTCGTCGGCGGAGGGTGCAGCTGCGGTACGTACGAGCGTGTCGTCGTCGGCGAAGTGCAGCCAGAGCGCGGCGCGGTCGTCGTCGGCGGAGGGTGCAGCTGCGGTACGTACGAGCGTGTCGTCGTCGGCGAAGTGCAGCCAGAGCGCGGCGCGGTCGTCGTCGGCGGAGGCGCGCAGCGCGTGCAGCGGGCGGCGGTAGAGCGCGCGCGCGCCGCCGCGGCCCAGCGAGCCGGCCGCCTCCCACACGCACACGCCGCCCGCGCCCAGCGCCAGCCGCGCGCACACCCCGCGGAACCGGCACCCTGCACAACCAACTACATCCTCAACACATCTAACAAACGGCAGTGGATTCTCTTACACCGTCAATATACGCCGCTCGATCTGTAGTATATCTTAACTAATATAAGGTAAAAGACATAAAAAAAGTAATAAGAACAGACATAACTTGTGTTCAGTTATATCTAAATATGTAATAAAATAATGTCCTCCAGTCGGAATTTCGGTCACTACGGCCAATTTTGTAGAATAGCCATCTGCGCTATAAAAGATTATACACGACACGCATACTGACATGACCAGAGAAAGATTAGGCTTCGCGCCACACAACAGTTTTACTTGCTTCTGCTAACACTGGGTTGGTACTGAGAATTTTTGGGTACGACTTTCTATTGACGTCCGTCGAGTTGGGAGTTGATATTTTTTTAAGTCACATTATTATAAGCACACACGCAAAATTTCAACATTCGGAGACACGTACTTCTTGAGAAAGAAAATATTGAAAATCCCTTTTCTTATCAATATTTATGTCAATCCCTACCACAGATTATATCGAATTCTTGAATTATATTTAAATTACAGAATTATTTTATTACGAATTTATTTTATAACAGAGGGGGACTGATTCAAAGGGATTTCTGTATCTATTTTAAGACTGCAACGTCTCCGGCACTACGGGCAGAGCAGCCTCTACGCCTTTGCGTAAAAAATCGCAGGTTTCCAACCTCGTTCGTCCGATGCCTACGATTTGTTACAGCAGGCGGAGGCTGCTCCCCCTACGCGCCTCCAGCTCTATAAAAACACTCTAGGGGTAGGACACTCGTACCAGGTGGAATCGGGGTCAATCAATTCGGTTCTTTGACATTGACATTGACAAGTTGAACCTAACCTATTTTATTTGTTATCTGTCCTAATAGGTACTATTAAAATAACACAAATTTCAAGCAAACAGATATACGAGGGTGGATTGAAAAGTACTCGGCCTAACACAGATCCATTCAATTCTAAAAATCAAATCTACCCACATTATTTAGTTCAGTTCAGACTAGTTCATTGTGTGAAGTTCGAAACGTGTGCGATAATTAGTTGTGATTTTATAAATTTATTAACAAAGTAATCGGACATAATTTCCGCGAATGGAGCAAATCGAGCAGCGTGCCGTCATTAAGTACCTCCATAAGAAGGGGCTATCATCAAAAGCCATCCATGATGACATGGTCAGTACATTAGGCGATTGTGCTCTGTCATATTCATCCGTCAAAAAATGGATAGCAGAATTTAAGCGTGGTAGAGAGAGTGTGAAAGATGAACCCCGCTCTGGAAGGCCTTCGACGTCAACTACTGACGAAAATATTAAAAAAGTACTTGATTTAATAATGGGAGACCGCAGATTAAAAATTAGAGAGATAGCCGAGATTATAGGCATCTCTTATGAACGAACTCAAAACATCATTGTCAACGAGTTGGGTTTCCACAAGGTGTCTGCGAGGTGGGTTCCGCGACTGCTTTCAGTTGAACAAAAAAGGACGCGATTGACTATTTCACGCGACTGTTTGGAGTTATTTGAAGCCGATGCAGATGATTTTTGAATCGTTTTGTTACTATGGACGAAACATGGGTTCATTACTGTACACCGGAAACAAAACAACAATCAAAACAGTGGAGAAGACCTGGTTCACCACCCCCTAAAAAGGCTAAGTCGATTTTGTCGGCAAATAAGGTGATGGCTTCAGTATTCTGGGACTCGAAAGGTGTGATTATGATTGATTATCTTGAAAGGGGTCAGAATATAAACTCTGATTACTACTGCACCTTACTACGTCGTTTACGAGAGGTAATAAAAGAAAAACGTCGAGGAATGCTCAGAAGAAAAGTCCTGTTTCATCAACATAACGCCCGTGTTCACACGTCAGTACAGTCAATGGCTGAAATTCACAACTGTGGCTTTGAACTGTTACCGCATCTGCCGTATTCACCTGATCTGGCACCATCAGACTTCTTTCTGTTCCCTAACCTAAAAAAGCACTTGGGAGGTCAAAGATTTTCGACAAACGACGAGGTCAAAGCAGCTGTAGACGCATATTTTGACTCTCAGGACGAATCATTTTTTTTCAACGGTCTAAATGCTTGGAAGGGGAGGTGGCAAAAGTGTATTGAACTTGATGGTGATTATGTAGAAAAATAAAAATATAACTGATTTAGTATTTGTTTATTTTCTTGGTTAGGCCGAGTACTTTTCAATCCACCCTCGTATCAATATTTTAGAAAACGATTTTTCATGAATCGATGCATCAGCTTCCGATTCGAATCGATCTAAAAATCGATCTTTTTCGGAAAGAATCGTCATTTTAAGGTAGGAATTGACATAAATATTGCAAAAAAAAATTGATTTTCAATAAAAAAAATTCTCAAAAAGTATGAAACTTTGCGTGTGTGCTTATAATAATGTAACCTTGAATATCAACCCCCAACTCGACGGACGTCAATGGAAAGCCAAGCCAAGTTTTGGACTCGACAATTTAGGAGTATGGTAACTTAATTCAATAGATTAAATTAAAATAGCTGTGAAAGTTTAATAGTGTAATTTGCTTTTAACTTTTTAGAACGTTTGTACGTGGTAGAGCCACGCTGCACCTACAATATGGTTGTAGCATGGATGGGGTACACGTTGTCACAAAATGCCAGCGTAAAATAGCAGCTCAATGCTGCTGTGTTTCGTATGGGGTGTAAAGATCTTAATCCTCAGGGGTGACAATATATCTGCATTTTAATTTGTAATCGAGGATAAATGTAGGGCCATAGAATACAAAAAAAAACGACAACAACAAAAGGTACTGACGGAAAGTGAACTCTGGTTGCGCGCGCACCGCGTGATGCGCGCCGTCGACGAGCGCGCCGGCCACCGCGGCCAGGTCGTGCGGCGTGTCGGCCCGCAGCGCGCGCACGCACAGCCCGCCCGCCGTGCCGGCGCGCACGCCCAGCGCCGCCGCGCCGCCCGCCCCGCCCGCCCCGCCGCCCTCCGCCTCCGAGCCCGAGCCCGGCCCCGAGCTGCCGCGCCGCCACCACGCGAGCCGCGTCGCCGCCAGGTTGAAGTTCTCCGTGGGGGCGCACCACGCCTCCGCCGACCACGGCGCCGCCTCGTACAGTCTGCCAGTCACGATGCACATGGCCGTCGGTTCAGATTCAACACATAAGACTTAATAGATACAAATACAAATGGATCACGACGTAATAAAGTCCAGTTCAGCTCGCACACTGCTGAGTAGCTAATATTATATTCACTTACAAGGTACTCTTTATCTCATCTGACGCTGCACACGTAACGTTAGAATTGTCTTCGTGTGAAGAGTAACGTACAGCGACGACGACGCGCGGCAACCCGTAGAATGCAACAACCTTTGTACAGCCCACCCTTACTTTATCGTTTTTTTTAAAGGGACATGGACTGTTCCATGTCCCTTTCCTGTAGGCCTATTCGGTAACTTTGTTGTCAGCAAAATGATAATCACTTCGTAGTACGTTGAGTCGCATGTTTTATGAGCCGTGGTAGCTCTTATAAGAATGCCAATATAGCATACGACGTAATATATTACAAAGTGACTATCATGTTGTTGATGATCACGAAGTTAGCAGCAAAACAGGCTTGCATATTAAAACGAAAAAAGCACCTCGCACTAAAGCAACTTCTCAAACGCAATATTGGGCGGCCCCTAAATGGATTGATAACCTAATGCAAGAGACGAAGTATACTGGTGGCTCAAGACCTAGCTTTGTGGCAACCTATAGGAAGATATGATAGAGATTTGTTCAGCGTAAACTTGTGATAGGCTGTAGTAATAATTTCAATGATGACAATGATTCATTTTCTAAGATTACGACAAGAAATGCCACTAAAATCATTATTGTTCGTCTACTATTTACAATGTTTACTTTCGTAGGCTCTACTTCTTCCAACCTCACATAAATAAACTATCATAATAGGTTGAAGAAAAAGTTTCTTCGTATTTTGTTTGTATAAAATTAAAGAAAAATCTTTTTGGTTGTACTGTTTGTATGTGGCTGGTTTTAATATCAATACGTATAGGATATTAAGAAAAAGAAAAATAAAAGGTAAAAACACTTTCCTGCCATTTTTAATTGTTTTTCTGTCCGCCAAAATGAGTGAATCTATCGAAGAAATTCGATACATTTTGAAGTTTTATTACAAAAAAGGGGAAAATGTGACTCAAGCCACGAAAAAAAATTGTGACGTTTATGGACATAATGCAGTGTCAGTATGAGTAGCACAAAGTTGGTTCAAGCGTTTTCAGTCCGGAAATTTTGATGTCAAAGATACAGCTCGCTCTGGCCACCCTCATACAGATAATTGGGCAAGCCGTAAAAGCCGATAACATTTTTTAAAAAGTGGAGCAAGATCGGCACATCATCATCATCATTACAGCCCCTCACAAGTCCACTGCTGAACATAGGCCTCCCCCAAGGAATGCCACAAAGCACGGTCCTGAGCCACCTGCATTCATCGACTTCCTGCACATCTCACCAGATCGTCACTCCATCAGTGGGGGGACGCCCAACACTTCGCCTGCCGGTACGAGGCTGCCACTCGAGAACCTTTTTTCCCCATCGGTTGTCGGTTCTTCGAACTATATGGCCGGCCCATTGCCACTTCAGTTTACTAATCCGTTGAGCTATGTCGGTCACTCTGGTTCTACTGCGGGTATCCTCATTCTGAGTTTATCACGCAGAGAAACTCCGAGCCCTCTCCATAGCTCGCTGAGCGACCTTGAGCTTCCTCATCCGGCCTACAGTGAAGGACCACGTCTCAGTTCCGTATGTCATCATTGGCAACACGCACTGGTTGTACAGTCTCGTTTTCAAGTTTTGAGGTATACCTGACGAGAAGATGTGCCGTAATTTCCCGAACGCTGTCCAACCGAGTTGAATCCGTCGATTGACCTCTCGGTCGAAGTTGGACTTACCTAGTCGGACTATTTGTCCCAGGTAAACATACTCGTCAACAACTTCGAGCTTAGTGCTCCCAACAACTACCGGCATAGGTGTGACATGGACATTAAACATGATCTTTGTTTTGTTCATATTCATCTTAAGACCTATCCGTTGGGAAGCACTATTGAGGTCATTGAGCATAGTGCTTAGGTCCTCCAGCGATTCTGCCATAAGGACTATATCGTCGGCAAATCGAAGGTGAGTGATGTACTCGCCATTGATGTTGATACCGTATCCTTTCCAGTCCAGAAGCTTGAAAACGTCTTCCAATGCAGCGATGAAGAATTTCGGGGATATGACGTCACCCTGTCTTACACCTCGCTGCAATTGGATAGGTTTCGTACTCTGGTTCTGTACTCGGATAGCCATCGTAGCTCTACTGTACAAACACTTCAGCACTTCGATATACCGACAGTCAACTTGGCACCGCTGAAGGGACTGCAGCACCACCCAAATTTCGACGGAATCAAAGGCTTTTTCATAGTCCACATACGCCAGACATAGTGGCAAATTGTACTCCTCTGACTTCTGTACAATTTGCCGAAGTGTGGTCTATGGTGCTAAAGCCTTTTCGGAAACCGGCTTGTTCGGGAGGCTGGAAGTCGTCAAGACTGCGCGCGAGACGATTCGTAATGACTCTCGAAAACAGCACGTAGACGCGGCTCAGAAGGGAAATCGGTCTGTAGTTCTTCAAGAGAGCATTGTCGCCTTTCTTGAAGAACAAAATCACCACACTTCTGCTCCACGCCTCTGGTGTAATGCCACCATGGAGGACGGAATTAAAGAGCTTCTGAAGGACTTCCATCCTCGCCTGGGGCCTTGCCGTTTTTAAGGTGCTGGAGAGCCATTCTAATCTCGCTCGGATTGACGTCCGGGATATCATCGGAATAATGTCGGATAAGACTCGCTCTTGGATCGTTACTCACACTTGCGTGTGGCTCCAACGATGACGTGTACAGCTGCCCATAGAACCTCTCAATCTCACTCAAAATCTCAGGTGCCCCGGAAACGATGCTGCCACACTCTGTCTTCAGCTTTGACAGTTGGCTCTTTCTGGCAGACAGATCTCTGGCAAAGACTTTGGAGCCTTGGTTCCGCTCGATCGCTTCTTCAATACGAGCTGTATTGAAGTTGCGTAAGTCCCGCCGCATGCATTTGGAGTTCTGTCTGTTCAGTTGCCTGTATGCTGCCAAATCTGTTGAAGAATGTAGCTTCATCTCTCGTCTAACAACCATGAAATTAAGAGTGTGATCGGAGTTTTTGTGTTCTTCTGCGGCGGGTCTTGCAGAACTTAGCTCCGAACGCATGAACAGTTTCCAAGAGCTTGTCATTCATATCGTCCACTTCATTGCAGTCTTCTAGGCACTGAAAACGGTTTTGTAACTCGAGCTGAAAGGTCCCGAAACTTTGGATTAGAGCACGAGGGGGACTTCATTAGACGACACCTCTCCAACTTAACGTTTAGGTTCAGTGTGCCTCTAACCATTCGGTGATCGCTGCCGGTTTTCACCCTCGCGATCACTGAGATATCACTGAACAGTTGTAGTCTGGTCGTCATAATGAAGTCAATCTCATTTTTTGTCGAACCGTCGGGGCTCGACCAGGTCCACTTCCTGTGGGGCCGCTTCTGGAAGAAAGAGTTCATCATAAAGAGTCCATCTTTCTCCATGAAGTCGGCCAGCTGCTGGCCCCTTGGGTTCCGTTGCCCTATTCCAAATTTCCCTACTTTCAGCTCACCATTCTCTCTTGTGCCTAGTTTTGCATTGAAGTCTCCCTTTAACACCGTATATTCGGTTTTGGAGGAATGCATGGCTCTAGAGATATCCTCATACATTTCCTCCACCTCCTCATCGGGGTGTGCCGAGGTTGGTGCGTAAACCTGTATGACTTTCAGCGAATACCGTTTGGTGATTCTGAGTATAAGGTACGCAACCCTCGTCGACACACTCCCAGTCTTTACAACGTTGTTAACGAGAGACTTGTGGACGATAAATCCGACACCTCCTTGGGACAGATGGTCGCCCTCCCGGTGATAGAACAAATTGCCGGATTCGAGGATTACCGTGTGCTCCCCCTCTCTTCGGACTTCGGATAATCCTATGACATTCCAGCGCACTTTGTCTATCTCTTCTTCCAGCTCCAGGATCTTCTCGTCAGTCCTCAGGGTGCGTGCGTTATAAGTTGCCAGGTCGAGTCGTCAGTGGCAGCCGAACCTCCACCGGAGATTCTTAGCACCCCCTGCCCCGCCATTACCATGGTCGCCACCGTAGCCAGGAATAGCGGGGCCGCCGGGGACTGGGGGCCGTCTCTTTGTTACTCATTCATAGGGGGGTATTTGCCATAGTTGCCACGCTTGGCGAGGGGGTTGGCAACCGCAGTTTTTTTATTGTATTTTTGCTGTTATCAGGAAGATGCTGCTGCCCATCTCCTGCCTGTTTCCCTTTGTCGCCTTTTACGACACCCACGGGAAGATATTGGGTAGTGGATATTCTTAACCGCCACTACACGGTAAGATCGGCACATTAGTAGTTATATTGAGGATTGACCACAAAACAGTTTTGACCCATTTGAAAAAGTCTGGCTATACATAAAATCACGATATTTGGATACCACACGAGCTCTCTGAAAGAAACCTAATGAATCGTGTGCTCATTTGCGATTCTCTATTGAAACGTAATGAAATCAAACCATTTTTGAAAAGATTGATGTTGAAAAGTGGATCACCTATGACAAGAAAGTGCGAAAAAAATCATGGTCAAAAGGTAGTCAAGCTCCACAGACTGAAGCGAAACCCGGTTTGGAAGGAGATCGTTTATACGAGCTTTTACCGCCGGGCAAAACCATCAATTCCAATTTACTACTGTCAACAACTAATCAGACTCAACCAAGAAATAAAAAAAACGGCCGAAATTGATCAACAAGAAAGGAGTGGTCTTTCATCATGATAACGCCACACCACACACATCTTTGGCCACTCAGCAAAAATTGAGAGAGCTTGGTTGGAAAGTGTTAATGCATCCACCAATTCCTGACCTAGCACCCTCAGTTTTTCACCTCTTTTGGTCTCTTCAGAAGTGTTTGGGTAGTGTTAGGTTAACATCAAGAGAGGACTGTCAAAATTACATGTCGCATTTTTTTTATCAAAAATCCATAGATTGCTACAGCAACGGGGTTATGTCACTACCTACAAGATGACAACAAGTTATCGAACAAAATGGCACATATTATCTTTATATATAAAAATTACGTGTCACGTTGTTTGTCCGCGATGGACTCCTAAACTACTGAACTGATTTCAATGAAATTTTGCACACTGTGTGTATTTTGGTCCAACTTGAGAGATAGGATAGTTTTTATCCCGATAAATGACCCTCAAAAATTTTTATTGCGAATTTAAGGATTTTTATAGGAAGGGTCGTTGGAAAGGGCAGAACAACGTCTGCCTGGCGAGCTAGTATATAATATATATATATATATATATATATTATAATTAAATGTAATTAAACTTTTAAAAAAATGTCTTGAATTTGTATATAAAATTCGAAGAAACTTTTCCCCGGCCTATTATTATAAATAAATTTTATAAGAAATTTATTTAGAAATTTATTTTTTTACTTTATTAATAACCCTTGCTTAGTTAACGCGCCAACTAACCTTAACTCACGATCAGTGATGGCAACGAAGGTTGGCACCCAGCCTTCCATATCATCGGAACTGTCTGAACCGCCAGAAGCTCCCATCTGGTGGGGTAAAAACGATAATCCATACAAAATGTTTTGAGGACACAAATCTAACTAGAATAATATAAATATAACAGAAGTACACATTATTAAATGGACAAACGCACAAAAATTAACGTACATAATAACATATATTGCATATAATGATTTCTTATATTTACGCGAAGACTACACATTAAATGAAACTCATTGTAACGGATTTTATCGCGTTTAACTTAACATTTTAATTCCTGACATTTCGGGTGCTTTAAAACAAAAGTGACGGTAGAGCTAACTATGACATCGGGACAGCAAACACCTCAGTCCCCCCCCCCCCCCGTGACCACAACGTCGGGAATTAAAAAGTTAAATTAAACGCGATAAAATCCGTAAAAATTAGTTTCATTTAATATATTGCATAGTTATATATTTTTCGTTATATGTTTCGTCTTTTTGGAGTAAGCTTTGGAGTAGGTATGGGAGTATTGGGTTATTATCTGCATTCCGCGACTTCTCCCATCTTCCCATCTGAGCTCGCAAACATATTAAATGCGAGTAAATTGTCATTAAAATTACCATTATAGTTATCTCGACGCAATTTTATAATGAATGAATGACACACATTGATAATCTTACCTTTATTTTAATATAAACTATTAACAATAAAAAGAAGTAACTGCTCGTAAGGTGATTAATTGCTACGTATAAGTTGATGATCGTTAACGTCCATCCATCTCCGTATCTCGTCGTCGCGGTTCGCTTCTTTATGTTGCTTTCGCTCCTTCACACGCTCTCGCACACAGACGTTGTAGTGTATGTAATTTGGGCGAAAACAGTATGCTTACAAGATCCTGAGGCGGGCGCCGAGCCAGCCAGCCGGCGTACCGCACTTCGCCCACCAAGGCCCGCAGGCGGGGCCGCGCACGAGCCATCGCGGCCCTGGCGGCTCGGCGCACGGCCGCGTGCAGGGCGCGATGCCAGCCCGCCGCTGAACCAGCCGTGCCAGCGCGCAAAGCCAACGCATGCACGCCGTCCGGCGAGTATATTTCGATTATGCGCTCCTCTGTAACAATTGCGAGTCGCAGCGTAAATTTATTGCTATCTACTACTGTTAACATAAATAATATAACGACAAAGGCGCGGCACAAAGTAGATAATAGCACATGTAGTTGGAACAGGTTTCAAATGCATTCGGAGCATGGAAGTAATATTATGTTCTGCGTAATAGAACAGACACCGCGAACAAAATCTGTGCGGAAGTGCGAAGCAGGTGGAAGGAAGAACAGAGTACCATTTTATAGCAGACTAAATAAGACGCGTGTTGCAAGCAACCAAGTCTCGGCGCCTCTTCTACTACATAGATACTATTTCAATGAGTTTGAGTGAGACTGTTGCTAAAACACAGATTATTTGTTTTCGGGTCTGATGAGTTATGAACGGACACCGATCTATGGAAGTGCATCCCTTAGATCAACGCGACAATGGCCGTATTGTTATAAACAATGCCTGGTAGGTTAAGGAATAGTGAATATCTACTTGTCCGTACATTTGTAACAGTATAATGAAATATTATCTATTGCGCATAATTTCTTGCGATTATTCTGAAGTTGTTCTTATAATCGAAAATCAAAAGGTTTTCACTTTTTTATTCTGTATAGTAATTTAAATCATTATTAACTAAAATATTAAGTTATCATTTCAAATTATGAACTGTACATACAAGCTGTATAGTGTTAGTGTAGTCAGACATCTCATCTCACATGATCCTAAGTTTCAGTGATCTACTGTTTGTTTTGAAAAATAAATATGGTTTCTAAGTCCGTTAAATGTTTTATAGTAACCAGAATCTATTTTCTTACTTCAGCGCCGTTTTTTACTTTGCAGATTATATAAGGTCGGACAAAATGTTTCTTCGTTTTTTATATACAAATTCAAGACATTTTTTTTAAAGTTTAATTACATTTAATTATAATATATATGTGCAATTTCGTTCACCACTTCCAACACTTTCCAACCAAGCTCTTTCAATTTTTGCTAAGTGGCCAAAGATGTGTGGTTTGGCGTTATCATGATGAAAGACCACTCCTTTTCTGTTGATCAATTCCGGCCGTTTTTCTCACTCAATTTCTTGCTTGAGTCTTATTAGTTGTTGACAGTAAAGATCCAAATAGATGGATTTGCCCGGCGGTAAAAGCTCATAATATACGATGCCCTTCCAATCCCACCATACACTAACTCATAGATGGGCGGAGGCAGTGGAGTCCAAGGGGGAGGCGTTGGCCGTTAGTTTGGACATAGCAAAGGCCTTCGATCAGGTTTAGGACAAAACGCTTATTTCGAAGCTCCTATGCTACCTTCCATGGCTTCCCGAGAAATTGTGCAATTGAATCACCAGTTTTCTGGCTGATCGGAGTATCAAGGCTCCGATTACAAGCCCATTAACGCTGGAGTTTCGCAAGGCTGCGTGCTATCATCACCGACGCTGTTTCTTCTGCATATAAATGATATGATGCAAACCGTTAATATTCATTGCTATGCAGATGACAGCACTGGTGATGCTTTATACACCGGCCGTTCCAATATTTCTCGGGAAAACATTGCCGAGTACCGGGACAAATTTGTGTCTAAAGTCGAGAGTTTTTTGAACAAAGTCTCGGACTGGGGGCGACTTAATCTAGTCCAGTTCAATCCCCACAAGACACTAGTTTGCGCGTTTACCGATAAAAAGAACCCCTATGTCGTAACTCCTCAGTTTCAAGGCACTCCCCTTTTTACCTAGGCCAGTATCGGAACCCTCGGTGTCGACATATCGAGTGACGTGCAGTTTCGTGGTCACTTGGAAGAGAAAGCCAAATTGGCCTCTGAAAACTCGGCGTGCTCAGCAGATCGGGACAGAATTTCACGCCGACACACCGCTTGCAACTTTACAAGGCTCAGATTTGACCTCACATGGAATACTGTTCCCATCTCTGGGCAGGGGCTCCCAAGTGCCAGCTCCTTCCACTTGACCGCATCCAGCGCAGAGCGGTTCGAATCGTCGACGACCGAGTTCTTGCCGATCGGCTTGACTCACTGGCACTGCGTAGAGATGTTGCATCTCTGCGTATTTTATCGCATCTATCACGGGAAGTGCTCTGAGTAATTGTTCGGACTAATTCCAGCCGCACATCGCGACAAAACTCGCGATACCATCCATACCATCTGGATGATTGGCGGTCCACCAGTGTGCGAATTAGAAGTTTTCTTCCTCGCACAACTTCCTTGTGGAATCGATTACCACCAGCGATTTTTGCGGACCGATACGACTACTAAGTGCCTAACTTTCAATAAAAGAGCCTGCTACTTTTTAAAAGGCCGGCAACGCATCTGCAATTCCCCTGGTGTTGCAGTTGTTCATGTGCGGCGGTAGTCACTTACCATCAGGTGAGCCGCATGCGCGTTTGCCCCCTCTCCTATTAAAAAAATACACACAGCATCATCTTATTGCGTGTTAATCCGAGTTTCGCTACAGTCTGAGGAGCTTGACTACCCTTTGACTATGATTTTTGTCACACGTTCTTGTCGTAGGTGATCCAATTTTCATCATCAGTGATCAATCTTTTCAAAAATATTTCAATTTCTGGTTCTGTACTCGGATAGCCATCGTAGCCCTACTGTATAAACACTTCAGCACTTCGATATACCGACAGTCCACTTGGCACCGCTGACGGGACTGCAGCACGGCCCAAATTTCGGTGGAATCAAAGGCTTTCTCATAGTCCACATACTCAAGACAAAGTGGCAGATTGAACTCTTCGGTTTTCTGTATGATTTGCCGAAGGGTATGTATGTGGTCTATGGTGCTAAAGTCTTTACGGAAATCGGCTTGTTCGAGAGGCTAGAAGTCGTCGAATTTGCGTGTGAGACGACTCGTAATGACTCGAAAACAGCACGTAGACGCGGATCAGAATGGAAATCGGTGTGTAGTTCTTCAAGAGAGCGTTTTTCACCTTTTTTGAAGAACAAGACCACCACACTTCTGCCCCACGCCTCAGGAGTAGTGCCACCATGGAGGATGGAATTGAAGAGCTTCTGAAGGACTTTAAATACCGGTTTTCAACTCACTTTCTGAAGCTCTGCTGTAATTCCATCTTCGCCCAGGGACTTGCCGTTTTTAAGGTGCTAGAGAGCCATTCTAATCTCGCTTAGACTAACGTCCAGGATATCATCGGAATAGTGTCGGATAAGACTTGCTCTTAGATCTCACACTTGCGTGTGGCTCCAACGATGACGTGTATAGCTGCCCATAGAACCTCTCAATCTCACTCAAAATCTCAGGTTTCCGGAAACGATGCTACCACATTCGGTCTTCAGCTTCGGCAGTTGGCTGTTTCTGGCAGAGAGATCTCAGGCAAAGACTTTGGAGCCCTGGTTCCACTCGATCGCTTCTTCAATACGAGCAATATTAAAGTTACGTAAGTCCCGCCGCATGCGTTTTGAGATCTGTCTGTTCCGTTGCCTGTATGCTATCCAATCTACTGAATACTGCAGCTTCATTTCCCGTCTGACAGCCATGAGCTTAAAAGTGTGATCGGAGAGTTTTTATGTTCTTCTGCGGCGGGGCTTGCAAAACTTAGCTCCGACCGCATGGACAGTTTCCACGAGCTTGTCATTCATATGGTCCACTGCATTGCAATCTTCTAGGCACTGAAAACGGTTTTGTAACTTGAGCTGAAAGGTTTCGGGACTTTGGATTAGAGCATGAGGGGGACAGAGCGTCGACTTCATTAGACGACACCTCTCCAACTTAACGTTCAGGGTCAATGTGCCTCTAACCATTCAGTGATCGCTACCAGTTTTCACCCTAGCGATCACTAAGACATCACTGAACAGTTGCCGTGTAGTCGGCATAATGAAGTCAATCTCATTTTTTGTCGAACCGTCGGGGCTCGACCAGGTCCACTTCCTGTGGGGCCGCTTCTGGAAGAAAGAGTTCATCATAAAGAGTCCCTCTTTCTCCATGAAGTCAGCTAGCTGCTGGCCCCTTGGGTTTCGTTGCCCTATTCCGAATTTCCCTACTTTCAGCTCACCGTTCTCTTTGTGCCTAGTTTTGTGTTGAAGTCTCACATTTACACCGTATAGTGGGTTTTGGAGGAATGCATGGCTGTAGAGGTATCTTCATACATTTCCTGTATGACCTTCAGCGAATACCCTTTGGTGATTCTGAGTATAAGGTACGCAACCCTCGTCGACACACTCCCAATCTTTACAACGTTGTTAACGAGAGACTTGTGGAAGTTAAATCCGACACCTCCTTGGGACAAATGGTCGCCCTCCCGGTGATGTTGCCGAATTGGAGAATTACCGTGTCCTCCCCCTCTCTTCGGACTTCGGATAATCCTATGACATTCCAGCGCAACTTGTCTATCTCTTCTTCCAGCTCCAGGATCTACTCGTCAGTCCTCAGGGTCCGTGCGTTATAAGTTGCCAGGTCGAGTCGTCGTAGGTGGCAACCAAACCTCCACCGGAGATTCTTAGCACCCCCTGCCCCGCCGTTACCATGGTCGCCACCGTAGCCAGGAATAGCGGTGCCGCCGGGGACTGCGGGCCGTCTCTTTGTTACACTCATTCATAAGGGGGTAGTATGATGAACTCTTTCTTCCAGAAGCGGCCCCCGCTTCTGGAAGAAAGAGTCCCTCTTCCTCCATGAAGTCGACCAGCTGCTGGCCCCATGGCTTCCGTTGCCCTATTCCGAATTTCCCTACTTTCAGCTCACCGTTCTCTCTTGTGCCTAGTTTTGCGTTTAAGTCTGCCATTAACACCGTATAGTGAGTTTTGGAGGATTGCATGACTCTACAACCATGGTATCTATAATCTGTCCAGCCGATTGTGACACTTCATATTTTTGAGATGTGTATTTTTTATGCCACTGCATCAGATCTTGCTTTGATTCAGATTCATAATGTTTTTATAGCTTTCTTCAATTGTTTTACTACGGAAGTAATAACATATAATAATAAATAACAATACAGTAGTTCTCATTATGATAACGCCACAATCCTTATAATCAATGAAAAGGATATGTATCCTAAAATATGGTTATATACCATGGTTTACCCACGGGCGGAAACCCATAAGTAGCAAAATTTTTTTTTAAATCATTATTGTGTCTTTACTTGTTTAGTGAGAAATTTAATCATTGCACCTACTTTCTCCCGCAATTTTCTTCCTACTGGTCGGTTTCTTTCTGAATTGTTTGCTCGTTGATAATTACTAATTTAATGACTAGATTAAGTTCAAACTTGGTGTATTTACTTAATTATATAAACAAGTCACTCGATTAGTAACCACGTAATGAGCACATACATACATTCCCTGCTATATGCAGTGAACCGTTGCAGCAAATTGCTCGATTTTAATGATGTTTATGTAAAAGATAACAAACATTTTAGAATGGTTACTGTCCTGATTGTTGTTCTAAAAGTGTTAATTTATCGAAACTATTGCAGCAAACAACCACAGATCGCATTTCATTAACATTCTTCGGTTTGCGAAACTGTAATCAATATGAGCATTTCGTAATCAATGAGATCACCTGTCTAAAGATATAAATATCATATTAGTGTGTCCCATTTAAACAAGGTATTAAGTTGTTGAGCATTACGTTTCGCAGAATATTTTAGTAAATAAATTCGTTCCCCTTACTACTTCTTTATATAATATTTATAATCGACCATTAATTTAATAATTATAAGCTTAACATTGCTTATAATCTTATAATTATAAGCAATGTTATTATCACTATTTCAATAACAAATATAAACCCTAATTCATACAAATATTTGTTAAGATGTACCTAAAAAGTCTAATAAGAGGCTATGAGCCGAAATCAATTTATTGCCACATAATGGTTGCATTTATTTTTAAAATAAGACTTAGTTATGAAGCAAGTTTCGCAAACTTATTAGCAGGTCATTAAAGGTTATTAATAATCACCTGGATCATGATGACGAAGGTTCTTGGCGACGCATGCCATAAGTAGGGGTACGTAGCGAGTGTCCGCTCGTCGTCGTCTAGGTGACGGCGGCGAGGGCGGCGCATCTGCCATATAGCCACGCTGCAACTCCCACCCAACTTCGCTGATGATTGAGGCCTTACGGAAGTATGGGGTAACTTCGCGCAAATATTTCACTGAAAAAAAGGCAATAGAACCGATGACATAGTACACAATATAACGCATTACAATCGTTGTAGATAAAGAGCCAAAATGATGGAGTATACAAACAGTCAGTGTTTGATTGTCAGTGCTGACATTACCGAAATTAAATGGAAAAGAAATAAAATAAAATAATGGCGATCTTTCTCGGATAATTAAAAATTATTTGTTTTAGCAATTTTTCGGTTTTTTTTGGTCCAAGTTTTTTCGGAAATAATATAGCCTAGATCTGCTGGCATTGTTCTCATCTGTTTATAAAATTTTATCACAATTGATTCAGCCATTCCGTGGACTAGCCCGAACAGACAGACGGACAGACAAAAATCTTAAAAAGAGTTATTTATGTATTAATAGGATGCAAATAACAAATTGAGCTTAAGAAGAAACCAGCTATTTCGATATTACAGACAAAGACTTCATTTATATGTATAGATATAACACAGTGGAATAGTGAGCTAGTAACGTTGAGTAGAAATTTTACATATTTTATTATTTTTACGATTCTTGCGAAAATAAGATAGTGAGGGAGGCAATTTTCGACACGAGTCTAAACGACAGAAGCCTGTGTAATGCCGCTGTAATGCTACATTCAACACCCATTGTCCGATCTAATCAAGATATTTGTAACTGTGGCCAAAATTTATTGAGACTATAATTAACGACATACCCAGCTGATGTGAAGGTAAATAAAGTAGTTTTTATACTATAAATAATGTTATAATAGAATATAGATAGAATCAGATTTTCCAGTAAAATATGCTGGTGGTATCTTTATGGCAGAAAGAAACCATCACTGTAGGTAAATGAGATTAGGGAAATGTCGAGAAGCTTTGTATTTATATTAAGGTAAGATTGAAGGTTTGTAGGATAAAATAATTTCTTAAATTTACGCAAATACTACGAGTACATACAGTACATTGAATAAAACTAATTTTACGGATTTTATCGCGTCTAATTTTAACTTTTTAATTCCCGACATTTCGGGCGCTTTACAGCACTTATATGATCACGGAGTGAAGACCATGAGGTGTTTACCGTCCTGATGTCATTTTTAATGAACGCTTCACGTTCATCTTTACCTTTCAAATAGTAATGAAGGCTATCTTCACATTTTAAATATTAAGTTTTGGTCCAATCTACGCAGAACGAGCCTACCGTATCTTAAAGTAGTGAAGCACATATGATAAATTTAACACAAAACTTTTCTGTCTTTTTTATTACTATTTTCACTGTGATCTTAATCAAAAGTAAAATTATGATCTTTTAATGAAGCCCCATCCCGCTCTATTATCTACAACTGAAACAATGAGTTTAGCCAGGTTTGTATCAAACTCACTAATAATCTGCCCTTTAAAGGACGCTCTTTAACCACAGCTACTGAATATTGTTGAATATCAGTGACATGCAGTATGATAGTGGAAGAGAATTCAGGAACACATAGGCATTGATAAGTCAAATACAAAAATCTTACACATTTAGGCGTCAGGAGGTTTGCACATTCCATACCATTACAGCTTAGTCCACTGATGAACATAGGCCTCCCCCATAGAGTGCCTCATAATGGGGATATTTGCCATATTTGCCACGCTTGGCAAGCGGGTTGGCAGCCGCAGTTTTATTTTCATTTTTAGTTGTAACCATTATAAGTGATGCGATATATTAGAAAAGTATGACAGAGGCGAATAGACATGAAGAAAATATGAATATGGTTACGAATCTGTAATTATGGTTGGGGATTTACCAAAAAAAAGACGGTGATAAAGAAAAATGAAGGTTGCCTCATTCTTTGGAAGGACTGCTGGAAAAATAAGCTCCTTGATCATTAAAACCCTTCAGTTCACTTCAACAAACTGTCAAATATAGTTTCTAATAGGTCATCCACTATACAGTCCCAAACTGGCACTTCGAGATTTGTCTTTATCTTTATTTACAATAATAAAATATAATCTAGGAGCAGCACTATGCTTTATGAACCCTTAAGGTACAGTGACTAATGGCTGTGGGAGATACTTGTGAGTGAACCAACTGTATTATATCTCTGTGGTACTGAATTCAACAAGACATTAACAGGAATGAAGGCAACTTAGAAATTCAATGAAGTTAAAATAAATTTTTCGTTTTGTTTTTTTTAATATAAAATAAGGGCAAACAAGCACACAGTCCACCTGATGGTAAGTGGATGCTGTGGCCCATAGATATCTACATTTATCCTCTGAGGACTAAGATAGAATGCCATGTTTCCAGTAAAAGGTGTCTCTGGTTCTCTACACTCACCATACAAAACCCTGGTCAAGCCGACCCATTAGTGCTACAACCATAATATAGCTGCAGCGTGGATCTACCAAGTTAAATATTGTTTATATAAACATCACCATGAAAGTTGATGGATTTGGATAGTGAGGACTATGATCAGTGCCAGTCCTTGGGGTGAGGTAGACTTGTGATGGACTAAAAATGCTGATTTACATTGTAGTGGTGTTGATAGTTTTAAGTTAAGTGTAAATTGTATATCCACAACTCCAAATCATCCTGTGGAGGCAACAGAGGATAACACCAGGAGATGGGCAGCAACAACTATAAATAAATATGTGAAGGGAAAATTTTCTAACCCTTTTTAAGCACGTTGCAAACATGGAAGCGTGTCAATTTGGCATAGTTAAAAGCTTGTATGGAGAAGGAGTGCAGAAAATGTAAATTTATACATAATATGTGCTACAATTTTTTTTAATAGAATAAGGGTGACAAACGAGCACACAGTCCACCTGATGGTAAGTGGTTGCTGTGACCCATAGACATCTACATCTATCCTCAATGAAGAATCAAAATGCAAACGCATTGTCACCAGTAAGGGCTAAGATGGAATGCCTCTTTTCCAGTAAACAGGGTCTCCAGTTCTCTACACTCACCATACGAAACACAGCAGTGTTAAGCTGCTGTTTTACACTGGTATTCTATGAGTGTGGTCCTTCCCCAATCGAGCCGACCCATTTCATGCTACAACTATACTACTGTTTGGTCCAATCTACGCAGAACGAGATACTGGTGGTGGATAACTTAATTAAGTCATTGTAGAAGCGTGCTCGTCGCGACCCCTGCCAGCCCTTTTCAGGGCTGCAATTCTACTCAGCTGCGCACCCATGTCAACGAGGGTTAGGGCGTCCCCCCAAGGCGACGCACACCAGCTCGTCCCCGTTGGTGTGGAATGCAGCGCGCAAAGCGGCGATGGGGACCGCCACCCGTCACGCACAGCCCGACACGGCGGAAGGTGGAGGACGGAGTGCAGAGTTGGCACGTGGAATGTTAGAGGAGGCATGAGAGATAAGACGAATGAGTTGATCGAAATAATGAAAGAAAGAGAATTAGATGTAGTGTGTATGTCGGAGACCAAACGGAAGGGCAGTGGTACTGAAGAGCTCCCTGGCGGGGCGTTTGCTCTATGGTCCGGAGTCCCGGAGAGCGAGAACGCCTGCCAGGGAGTGGGGGTGCTGCTGTCTTCTCGGTTGGTCGATGTTATGACTGAATATAAGTTTGTGAACTCAAGACTTCTCTGGGTTCGCTTTAAATTGGGACTGACGAAGTTATTCCTTTTGGCTGTTTATGCGCCGGTGGCTTCGTCGTCCAGGGCTGAGCTGGAGGAGTTTTGGGAGAATGTAAGAGAAGTTCTAGATTTGGCTAGGGGAAACGAAAGGATTGTTGTATGTGGTGATTTGAATGGATGGGTTGGTACCGCTCGACCAGGGTACGAGTCGGTACTTGGAAAGTTTGGCGATAAAAGGGTTAATGATGCTGGCAAGCTTATACTGGCGGTATGCAAGGAAAAGGGTCTTCTTGTGACAAACACTATGTTTAATCACAAGAAAATCCATATGTATACTAGAGAAAGAAAGAATGAGAGAAGTATGATCGATTTGTTCCTGGTGGATGACCGACTGCGAAAACAGGTTATGGATACGCGAGTGTTCAGGGGTGCTGACCTGGGAACGGATCACTATCTAGTGATTACTAGATTTAGGGGTCTGTTCGCGGGTTGGCGCTACCGGACGACAGTGACAGAACCACAGTCGGTCTGTCGCATCCGAAGCTGGAAGCTTCAGGAAGCGGATACTAGGGACAAATATCATGCGAGGGTAGCCGAAAAGCTTGACACCATCGATGGCAGAAACGAATGTGTAGAAAGAACGTGGCAGAACCTTAGGGATGGAATGGTAAGTGCAGCGGAAGAAGTGTGTGGAACAATAAAAAGAGGCAGTAGTAAAAGAAGAGATGCATGGTGGAATGATGAAGTGAAAGAAGCTGTAAAGAAGAAGAAGAAAGCATGGTTAGACTACTTGGCCTCTAGTAATGATAAGGATATGAGAGAGAAGATGAAAGAAAGATATAAGCTGCAGAAAGTTCACACGAAAGCATTGATTGAGGAAGTGCGTGAAAGGTGTAGAATGGAAGCGGATGAAAGGTTGTCGCACAACTTTAAGGAGAACTCCAAACTCTTCTGGAAAGAGGTTGGAAGGACCCGAAGTGGTGCGACGGCCTTAAGAATGAACAAAGTGCTTTCGAGAACTAATGACGTCCTCTCAGAAAAATCGGACGTCATGCAGCGATGGAGCGAATTTTATAGAGAAATGTATGCGTGTGATGATCTTAGTGAGGGATCCGGGGATGACGCCGTGACTGGCACGCCAGACCCGGACCTCGATGACACTGAGGTCATCAGTATGAAAGAGATTGAACGTGCGATTCGAAGTTTGAAATGTGGTAAAGCTGCGGGACTAGACAGAGTTACTGCTGAAATGGTCAAGTATGGTGGGCCTCGCGTCTGGGACAGCTTTCATCTGCTGTGCAATTTGTGCTGGCGGACGGGGGATGTCCCGGATGATTGGCGATCCGCAGTCATTGTGCCTTTATATAAAGGTAAAGGTTCACATTTTGACTGCGGGTGCTATCGGGCGATCAGCTTGACCAGTTTAGCAAGTAAAGTTTACTCGAAGGTTTTGACACGTAGGATGCAAGAGAAATCGGAAAGATTTCTATGGGAGGCACAATGCGGATTTAGACCTGGAAGAGGATGCACGGATCAAATGTTTTCTCTCCGTATGATCACGGAAAAGCTTCTGGCTGTTAACCAGAAGATTTTCTGTGCTTTTGTGGATCTTGAGAAAGCATTTGATAAGGTTGTAAGGAAGAAAATGTGGGAACTGCTGCCGGGGTATGGTGTGGATGGCCGATTGCTAAGGGCTGTGCAGTCTCTTTACTGTGACTGTAAAGCCTGTGTGCGGGTAGGGCATGACCTGTCACCCATGTTTAGCGTCCAAACGGGCGTAAAACAGGGTTGTGTCATGTCTTCCTGGCTGTTCATACTGTATCTCGACAGCTGTTTACAAAAGCTGAAAGATAGCTGTTTGGGTGTGAAATTGGGTGACATAAAAGTAAATTGTCTGCTGTATGCTGATGATGCAGTGCTTATTGCACCATCAGAGGCAGAACTGCAGGCATTAGTCACGTGTATGAAAGAGGAATGTGAAATTAAAGGTCTCCGTTTGAATGCTAATAAAACTAAGGTTCTGGTATTTGAAAGGGACGAAGAGAGAACGAAGTGTGAAATATGGGTAAATCAGGAATGTCTAGAACAGGTAAATGAAATTGTATACTTGGGGAGTGCTTTTAGCCGGGATGGAAGATGTGATTTAGATGTGGACAGGCGTGTCGCTGCCGGGAACAAAGTCAATGGTGCCCTGACTGCGTTAGTCAAAAGGCAAGGCGTAGCGAAGAGTGCACGCCTTGCAATACATAACGCAGTGTTGGTACCGACTTTGTTATATGGCAGCGAAACCTGGGTATGCCAGAAGAAGCATAAAAGTAAGTTGAATGCAGTGGAGATGCGATCTCTTCGTAAAATGTGCGGCGTTACTATGGCCGACCGAAAGCGAAACGAAGAGATTCGCAATATGGCAGGTTTGAAAGATGACATTATCACAAAAATTGATAAGGGTGTGCTTCAGTGGTTTGGGCACGTTGAGCGAATGAGTGAAGACCGAATGGTGAAGAAAATATATAGCGCGAAAGTTAATATTAAAAGGTGTCGAGGTAGACCGAGACTAACTTTCGAAGACCATGTGAGCAAATTGCTCGAAGAGGGTAGGGTCAAGAGTACTCGGATACCTAGACGTGCATGTATGAAGAAGATAATGAATCTGAAAGAAGCGAAAGAGATATGTAAGGATCGTGACACTTGGCGATCTGTTCTCTCTGGCTACCCCGTCAGGGATTGTGCGTGAAGATAAGTATAACTATACTACTAATATAGCTGCAACATGGCTCTACCACATATAAAAGTACACAGCAATGTCTCGTTTCCGGTAAAAAGAGCCTTTGGTTCTCGACATTCACCATACGAAATAGCAAAATTCAGCTTCTATTGCACGCTGGTATTCTGTGAGAGTGTAATCCTTCCCCAGTCGAGCGGACCTATTTGTGTTACAACAATAATATCGCTGCAGCATGGCTCTACTTCATGTAAACAAATACAATAATTTAAATTAAAAAATGATTGTTTACACTCATGCTGTCAATGTCAAATACCGTTTGTGTCAATGTCAAATGTCGTTCATACTGCCAATATCTCAGAGTAAGTACTATTTATTTATTTATTTAAACTTTGTTGGACAAAAATGTATAACTGTGCACTTAATGCCTTAAGGTGTTCTCCACCAGTCAACCATGTGTGGTACTATGTATGTTATTAATGTCAAGCACTTAATAGCCAAGTAGTTTGTAGTTTTAGTGTGGTGAAACCTTGGATGAATTAGTATAATAATTTTTCCAAGGGTCAAATAGTCCCACAGAGTTCCTGAAAGAATTACTGAATTTTTGACTGAATGAACTATGAATTTTCTAATGTTTTTTTCTCGATGGTGAGTGGAGTGTAAGATATGGCAAAAAAGCATTTATTTTATATGTCATCTACAAGATATCTGTTGATCAACTTAAGATCAAATTTCAACCACTAAGCTAAACTAAACTACTAAATAACTAAACTGTGGTTGCCAACCTGCCTGCCAAATGTGGCAACTATGGCAAATATTCCCCTTATAAGGCAATCTATGAGTAGACCTAGCAGTGAACTTTGTTAAGCTGTAATGAAAAAATTAGATGAAAAATAATCTAACCTACTGTTTTTTTTTTTTTTAATTTTTGTAACTATAAACTTCAATAAAGGAAATTTAATCGCCCCTATGCACATAGTCCATTGTTGAACTTAAATATATCATACACTAAACTAACATAATATATAACATATTTGTTACAGTACATATGATGTTAGTTTTGTGCCATAAAAGCACATCATACAGACTGGAACCTATAGCTAGTGGGGTAGTTATTCATAAATTTCCTATTTAAACTGTAAAAAGTATGGAGTGATTTTGGAGTGAAACTCATTGCACCACTTATTGAAAAGCCAGGCCAGCTAGTTAACCATATCAGGATAGGTATATATGCATTCATAGACTTCATTGCTTAAATTAACATGACCTCATAATTGGGTTCAAAGTAATTAGTGTTGGTATGTGAGTAAGCATAGAAGGAATAATTATTCATTATATATAACACAGGTCCATAAGTATAATAATAGTTGTTAATAATTTGGCAATAGTATCACCTATTGGATCCTAACAGTGTCATAAAAAATCAGACGTCAATCAGATATACCAATGATGTAAGATAATGGCTAAACATATTTTCATAAGCTATTTATCTAATTACCTTCTAACTGAACCATTTTCCCTGCCCTTTTTAATGCCTTTACTGCTTCCTCGTGTGTTGCATCTTTTAAATCCTCACCATTGACAGAAAGAATTGCATCACCAACGTACAATTGCTCTGTAAGATCAGCAGCCATGCCTTTAAATATTTTCGATATCAATATGGGCATATTGTTTTCTATTCCTCCTTTTATAGATATACCTAAACCATTATTGTCTGATTTTACGACTTGCACTAGGCGTTTCTGATTGGCAATAGCTTCAGGCACTTCTGTGAAGTCACTGTTTGGTGTTTCAACATTATTGTTATTCAATGTGCCATTAAGAGTGGTCGTTGCGTCGTAGCCGTCATCCAAAGATACGCTTAAATAATCATCTTCCAAGGAACAATGTACACGGTACCATACACCTCGTACTAACGTCTCTAACAATCCTGAACGAGCACAAGTCGCATTTGGACTCTCACTTCCACCGCTGGAACCACCGTTCTCGACCATAATTGCGATTTAATACTATTAATTGACTTAATTAATGTATATCAAATTATATTCCCACTTTGTAAATACGTTGATAAAAAAGTTAAACATCAAAGAAAGTTCATTCTTTTAATTCAACACATACTCGTTTTTATTCCTCCAAGGTTTCGATAAGTGTGACAATTTAATAATATTAGCAAATAAACACAGATTCATTGCACAATCGATAATATTACGACATAAATTTGACGTTCCGCCCAGTAATATTCATGTAGGCTTGTAAAAATGTCGAGGTATCGATATGTCGATATTTTTTGCCGGTATATCGATATTTTGGCGATAACTTTTATTTCGATATATCCATATAAAATATCAGATATTTTTATTTATTAATATATTTTCAGTAGAAACACCGTTGTTGCCACGGACTTAAACCGCTGGAATTCAAATAGTGTATTAAAATTTTGTACTGACAGCCACCATTTCACCAGAGTCTTTTAGAGATAGCGGTAAAGTATTTGGTAACTACATCCTCAGTTTCATCAGAGAGAATGGCATCAGTTATTAATTTTAGTATACCCAATAACGAAGCCGACTTTCAGCAGAGCACATCTAACTCAAAGTTTTTCTTTTGTTTTATTTGTATTTGTATTGATTTCTTAAGGGGCATTTAATTGTTTATTTTATTTCGTTCGATTAAAATACATTATATTTTTATCAATATTTTATTAATTTATGGTTTTTATTGCTGTCACTTTATTATTAGAAATGATGTTTCTACTTTGTATCCATACGAATAGTAATTGTGACAAATTTATTGAACTATACTTGTAAAAACAAATAAAAAAATCATGAAGTACACATATTTTTTAGAAAACTTTACCATTATATCGTTTTATATATATATTGAAATTGATATCAATACTTTTCTTAAATACCGATACGATATATATCGATATTTTTTGTACTTCCTGCATCCCTAATGTGAGTAAAGATCATAGAGAAATAAATATGTAACAGGCTAGTAAAGATACGCGATACATATCGATATTATAGAATATCAATTCATTATTAAATATTTTAGGGTCATTTTATACAGGGTTATTTTGTCAAATTTTATACTAAAGTTCAAATGTATAAAAATATATAAAAAATAGAATTTTTTTTTGAAATCATCCCAAATTGAATGTAATTTATGAGCAACGCTACGCGCTACGCGTACGCACGCTCCTCTGCGTAAATGATTCACGTTTTTGCCGATCGAGCAACCCTTTCGAATGTGTACGTGCGTAGTAAAATAGTAGCCGTTCGATATTTTTGTATGACAATCAATACATTACCACGCATTCTGAATTTAAAAGATAAAAAGAACAAAATGTCTGAGATTTTTTAATTAATTTTTCTTCACCATTCGCTTATGTTACTTATTCTGAACCTTCTCTGCAAATTTGGCCGTATATTGCAATCATCATCATCATCATTACAGCCCTTCACAAGTCCACTGCTGAACATAGGCCTCCCCCAAGGAATGCCACAAAGCACGGTCCTGAGCCACCTGCATCCATCGACTTCCTGCATATCTTACCAGGTCGTCACTCCATCTCGTGGGGGGACGCCCTACACTTCGCCTACCGGTACGAGGCTGCCACTCGAGAACCTTCTTTCCCCAACGGTTGTCGGCTCTTCGAGCTATATTGCCGGCCCATTGCCACTTTAGCTTACTAATCCGTTGGGCTATGTCGGTCACTCTGGTTCTACTGCGGATATCCTCATTTCTAAGTTTATCACGCACAGAAATTCCGAGCATAGCCCTCTCCATAGCTCGCTGAGCGACCTTGAGCTTCCTCATCCGATCAGCAGTGAAGGACCACGTCTAAGTACCATAGGTCATCACTGGCAACACACATTGGTTGTACAGTCTTGTTTTCAAGTTTTGAGGTATACCTGACGAGAAGGTGTGCCGTAATTTTCCGAACGCTGCCCAACCGAGTTGAATCCGTAGATTGAACTCTCGGTCGAAGTTGGACTTACCTAGTCGGACTATTTGTCACAGGTAAACATACTCGTCAACAACTTCGAGCTTAGTGCTCCCAACAATTACCGGCATAGGTGTGACATGGACATTAAACATGATTTTTGTTTTGTCCATGATCATCTTAAGACCTATCCGTTGGAAAACACTATTGAGGTCATTGAGCATAGTACTTAGAGGTCCTCCAGCGATTCTGCCATAAGGACTATATCGTCGGCAAATCGAAGGTGAGTGATGTACTCGCCATTGATGTTAATATCGTATCCTTTGCAGTCCAGAAGCTTGAAAACGTCTTCCAATGCAGCGGTGAAGTTTCGGGGATATCACGTCACCCTGTCTTACACCGCTCTGCAATTGGATAGGTTTCGTACTCTGGTTCTGTACTCGGATAGCAATCGTAGCCCTACTGTACAAGCACTTCAGCACTTCGATATACCGACAGTCAACTTGGCATCGCTGAAGGGACTGCAGCACTGCCCAAATTTCGACGGAATCAAAGACTTTCTCATAGTCCACATACGCCAGACATAGTGGCAAATTCTACTCCTCGGACTTCTGTACAATTTGCCGAAGGGTATGTATGTGGTCTATGGTGCTAAAGTCTTTTCGGAAACTGGCTTGTTCGGGAAGCTGGAAGTCGTCAGGTCTGCGCGCGAGACGATTCGTAGTGACTCTCGAAAACAGCACGTAGACGCGGCTCAGAAGAGAAATCGGTCTGTAGTTCTTCAAGAGAGCGTTGTCACCTTTCGCGAAGAATAAGACCACCGCACTTCTGCTCCACGCCTCTGGTGTAGTGCCACCATGGAGGACGGAATTAAAGAGCTTCTGAAGGACTTCAAGTACCGGTTTTCCACTCGCTTTCAGAAGCTCTTCTGTAATTCCATCCTCGCCTGGGGCCTTGCCGTTTTTAAGGTGCTGGAGAGCCATTCTAATCTCTCACAGACTGACGTCCGGGATATCATCGGAATAGTGTCGGATAAGACTCGCTCTTGGATCGTTACTCACACTTACGTGTGGCTCCAACGATGATGTATACAGCTGCTCATAGAACCTCTCAATCTCACTCAAAATCTCAGGTGTCCCGGAAACGACGCTGCCACACTCGGTCTTCAGCTTCGACAGTTGGCTCTTTCTGGCAGACAGATCTTGGCAAAGACTTTTTTCCTGTTTCCGCTCGACCCTGGTTCCGCTCGATCGCTTCTTTAATACGAGCAGTATTAAAGTTGCGTAAGTCCCGCCGCATGCATTTAGAGATCTGCCTGTTCAGTTGCCTGTATGCTGTTAAATCTACTGAAGACTGCAGCTTCATATCATATCCCGTCTAACAGCCATGAGATTATGAGTGTGATCGGAGAGTTTTTGTGTTCTTCTGCGGCGGGTCTTGCAAAACTTAGCTCCGACTGCATGGACAGTTTCCACGAGCTTGTCATTCATATCGTCCACTGCATTGCAATCTTCTAGGCACTGAAAACGGTTTTGTAGCTCGAGCTGAAAGGTTTCGGGACTTTGGATTAGAGCACGAGGGGGACGGAGCGTTGACTTTATTAATTAAGTTCCGTTGCCCTATTCCGAAATTCCCTACTTTCAGCTCACCGTTCTCTCTTGTGCCTGTTTTGCGTTGAAGTCTCCCATTAACACCGTATAGTGGGTTTTGGAGGAATGCATGGCTATAGAAATATCCTCATACATTTCCTCCACCTCCTTATCGGGGTGTGCCGAGGTTGGTGCGTAAACCTGTATGACCTTTAGCGAATACCGTTTGGTGATTCTGAGTATAAGGTATGCAACCCTCGTCGACACACTCCCAATCTTTACAACGTTGTTAACGAGAGACTTGTGGACGATAAATCCGACACCTCCTTGGGACAGATGGTCGCCCTCCCGGTGATAGAACAAATTGCCGGATTCGAGAATTACCGTGTCCTCCCCCTCTCTTCGGAATTCGGATAATCCTATGACATTCAACCAATACACAGCATTAATACTCCTGTTCGTATTCCTCTGAAATAATATAAATATCACATGGCTACGAAGTAAGTACCATATTAAGCTTAATTTACACTTTAAGGGGCTACTCCATGCGAACGACCTTGAGCATTTGACCGCTTGCTACAATATTAATATATTGTAGCGAGCGGCTCGCCGGAAGAAATATGTAAGACGCCACCTATTGTACGAAAGTAGTATTATTTTTTCAACATCAATAAACTATTTTATGGAAATACACATAGCGTACAAAGATAAATGTATTTTAATTTTTTTATTCTGTATATATTAGTTGCATTATATTAGAATTATGTATTTTCATATATTATCTAATTATGAAATTTTATAATTAATTATATATTAAAACTGAAGCATTGAAAATTGTGAGTTTAAAAGATACCTATTCACTATAGGTAAATAAATAGATAGCTCGGCTTTTGTACAAATATTTGGTGCAATAAAAAATAAATAAATAAATAGGATGTTTCGCATATGTGTTTTTGATTATTGTTAATTTTTACGTGTCACGTATTGAAAAGTTACCTACTAATTTTTGAACTTATGCTGGCAGATATTATCCTCACCCCAATGATTGATGAGGATGAAAATAAATTTTATTTCTACATACGTAATTATATTTATTTATACATAAGGGTAACTTTAATAAAGGTAATACAAAAATCAACAAGAAGTATAAGGGTTCAATCTTTCAATTTCAGTTGTAAAAAAACGTTACCCCCACACTAGGATTTTCTCCTGTGTCGTGGAGGCAGTTTACAAACATAAATTGCACAAAGACAAACATCCAGACCCGGAACAATTATTTGTAGGCCATACAAATACTTGTTCCATGCGGGATTCGAACCCGCGGCCCCCAGCGCAACAACTGATTGCTAAGCCACTGCGCCACCATGAAGCTAATACAAAGACTAACTTTGTATTTGCTTCATGGTCGCCGGGTTATAGCTAAAGTGACCATACGTCCCGTTTTGAACGGGACTGT